CTACTGTTATACTTAAAGTATACTTTTATATACTAGAAAGTGGGCCAATTTAGTCCCAAGGAGTATTGAAATTGTACACTTACAAGTATACTACTAGTACACTGATATTTGTATACTTGCTACATAAAGTATACTTAAAAATATTCTTGAACTTTACTTAAGTATACTTAATAAAATAAACTTGAAGTACACTACTTTTTGGTAAGGGGTACGAATCATGGCGCTAGTGTTTGAGCCATGTTTATATGACTCTTTGCATGTATCTACGTTTAACCCCAAAAATTACAAGTCAGAGCTGCAGAATATGTCGACGCTCGCCAACAAAATTCACGTTTAGCCGATGGGGTAACCATAGCAACTCGACAAAACTCGGTATTTACACATTGCACATATGCTATAACAACTATGTCACAAAAACCTTTTTTTAAAGATGACAAAAGACAATTTGGACGCAACTGTTCGCGCATCTAACCTATAAAGTCGACCTCACGGTCTAGTTTGGCCAAATCACGTGATCAATTCCTTGCCTGCGGTCGGGTTGTCCTTGGCTCTGACGTCATGAAGGATCCTGAGTATGAAAACTTTACAGCAGCAGTATCAAGGTGTGTGTGTGCGTGTGTGTGCGTGTGCTACCCTCAGCTCACTAAATGAATGGATCCTGCTCGCGTATGGGCGATTTTTCAAGAATCATCTAATTCTGGATTCAATGCATTTTTCACTCGGGATCAGTGATGACTTGGCTTCTGATGTGGGTTCTACTATTTGCTTGTGTACCGCAGGTAACAAATATGTTTGTTTATGTATTTATATGTATTTACTTTCTGAATTATTCGATGAAATAACGCATAAGCAACACACCACACCTACAGTTTAATTTAAAACAGGAGACTGTTTTAACATGCGTTGGAAAAACTGTATTTTTTCCAACTACTATTACTATACTACTATTTATAATAAATAATAGCCTATGTTCTTTTGCATTAACACTGTAAAAGTTGCTTGGCGCCTGCACATACAATTTTGAATTGAAATATTTAATGTGTTCTGTAAAATAAACATATAACAAACCACATAATGAAACAGAGCATTTCAAAATCCTATTCTTTAAATATATTCTACTTTTTAGTCAAGTGAAAATGAGACACCTTATCAAAGGTTTGTTGCGTAACAGTATTTGCGTCAGTAACTCTGATACCCCGCTATTCCACGTTAAATTCATACCATATCTTGAATAATTAAAATTGAAATGCGCTATAGATTATCATTTAATTATATGTGAATGGCATTTGTAACAGATGACCTCATGTTTCACGCATTTGAGGAATGCAATTCCTTAACAACAAATTTAATGTGTGAGAGTATACTGCCGTCCTGTGGACAGATATAAACATGTTTGTCAAAATGCATGAGTGATATCCCTAATTGGTTTGACTCATTAAAGCTACATACTCTTTAAAGCTAAGTTCACTCCATTATGTCTTTGAACATGACAGCCACCCTCTTTTATACTTATAACTGTGACCCAGAGGGCGTACTTATCCTACTTTAAATTTATTCAACTTTAGCTGTCTCTTCCACCTTCCATATCTGCTGCTAATCTCACACAGGCTAAAAGAGGTCAAAGGTTATGGTGCCTTGCAGTTGCGAGCTTTGCGTGTGCTGTATTACTTAAGTCTGTTGCCATGTCAATCAATCATCTTGTTAATTGAACCTGAGGGCCTGAAGCAGTTGACTTTCTGTGCCTGCTAAAATCATTTATCAACATGATCTGTCATCCAATACCCCATTATTTACATCAGTTTAAACATTTAGATACATACCATACAATAAAAAGTGCACTGGAAACCTTCAAATTAATCATATTTAATCTACCCACCCATTAGCTGTGTTTGTTTCTTGACCTGATGTGCAATGATTATCTAGTACAAAATGAGACCCATGAGCTGACAGCAGGTCTATAGCTATTATAATCTGATATATGCAGGAAAGTGTAATTAGAACTGGTTCATTACTCTGAGGTTTAGTAGTATGTATGGGTGATTAATTAAGCTACATTGATTCCAAATATAAATGGCATCATAAATTACGTTTAGAGGTTCCGTTGAAATGCGTTTACATAAAGAACTACAAATTAAGACATTTATCTATGAAAGCTTGTTTCCGCCACAGGATAAAAAAAATAAAAAGGTAATTGCGACCTTTTATCTCACAATTGTAACTTTTTTTTCTCACAATTCTGATACACAGTTCTATATATAAATAAAAAAAAACTGAATCATTACCTCAGAATTCAGAGGAATAAAGTCAAAATTGTAAGATGTAAACTCAGCAAATGTTTGGGGTTGGAAAGACTTTGACTTTTTTTCGTTTAAAGACGTGATCTAAAACATTAATATTGTGTGTGTGTGTGTGTGTGTGCGTGCGTTTTTGTGACAAATGAGGACATACATTTGTATAATGACAAAGGTATGACATAGGTATTACAAGGAGAAGGTGGCTTTTCAGGACATTGGTTTCCTATTCTGAATGACTTTGAAGGCACAGGGAATTTCCTAAGTGGACTTTGACTTCTCAGAATGTTTTGATCATACTGAGGCAAAAAAACTGAAGGCAGTCTTATGAGGGCTTTGTGCTGTATTTGACTTAAAAACATAAGATTGGAAATGCTGTTTTGATTTAGCTGATGTACATCACTATCTATTGTGTTCATTTATCTTCTATGACTTTTTTCTGTCTTTACTCTTTCTCACAAAGGCTGCTATATCAGGTATCACTAGAGAATAAGAGTTTACATCATGTTTAACTTTACACCCATATATTACAATTCATCCTCTTAAAAGGGTAAAACGCACTTTCCTTTTGTAGCAGAACTACAATTACTCTCAGATCTTTAAGTTGAGCATGTCCACACCTGCCTTATTCTTAAAAATGATACACTTCACTGACTATGCCAGCAAGTTAGTAACCTTTGTGTAGCTCTGTGTTAGAAATAACAGCCTCTTTGTTCTCACGTGTTCATTAGTCTTTCTGCCTGGTGCAGTATTTCTAAAGAATAAAGCATCACTAAGCAATTGACTTTCAGCCACGTAGACAATGTAGAAAAGTACATTCCATTTAGTCAAATAAAGGCATTTATTGACAAGAAATAATGATATCATCAGTGTGGTTATGATTTCCGGTTATGTGGTTATGATCAGGTGGCATAAAGTGCTATTTAAACACACAGAAATACTTAAGGGCAATGTTTTCTAATGTATTCCCCAGAGACATGCAATATAGCACTCTTCAGGGAAAACTGAGTGATATTTGAACTTCAGAATGGCATTTTGTAGACTATGCCAAAGTGAAATCCATTAGGTATATCAGGGTATGAAAAGAGCGAGGGAACATTTTGCTCACTTTCTGTTTAAGCCCAATCCAATCTTTCTTTATTCTTAGAAAGTAAAGTTCTCACAGAGAAAGGCAAAATGTGCTTCTGTGCTTCAGGGTCCCTTACGAAAAAGAAGCTTATTCAAGTGTGCATACTTCTTTTAAACTAAAAAATAGGAAAGTATACTTTTAGTCTACTTTTTATGTACTTCTCAGAAATGGGCTTTATATACTTCTCAGAAATACACTTAAAATGACATTTAAGTATACTTTACTTATAGCCTACTTAGAAAAAGTCTAAATATATTTGAGCTATACTTGTGTTCCTAGAATCCGTGTTTTCATTGTTATACGGTAGGGGACGCTAGTACACATTTTCTGTACAGAATTTCCAAAAAACACAAGTGAAGAAGAAACCGAAACAACAGATGCTTCCACATGTATTCTAACACGATCATCAGACATAAAACAGCATCAAAACTGTGTAACGTTGATGTAATGTCGACCAATGAAGAGGTAATACTGACTGTCAAGCTTTGGGGTGTTGATCGACTTTATCTCTATTTTGATTATCATGCTGAATCCAATTCATAGTCTTTTTCCAGCTTTTTGTTCAAAATGTTATTTCTTTTTTAATTTTTTTTTATGAAACTTACCCACATTCAAGTGTTTAAAAAAGAATGCATGAAGCTAGAATCAAAAGTTTTTGTTTACAAGCAGATACCCTGTTCTTTTGATGTTTTGTATGTTCAGATATTCATATAACAAAATATATACAAATGAATACCTAAATAGGGACGTAGTATTATACTTAAAGTATGATGTAAAGTTCACTTAAAGAAGACTTACGAGTATACTTGCAGTATAAAACTACTAAACTAGTAGTTTACTAAGACTATACTTCAAAGTGTACTAAAAAAGTATTTAATTAGAAAACTATCAGTATTCATATAAATTCACTTTTAGTATAGTTGCAGTACAAGCTAAAAATTTTGTTGTAAACTAGTTGTGTACTTAAAGTTTACTACTGTTATACTTAAAGTATACTTTTATATACTAGAAAGTGGGCCAATTTAGTCCCAAGGAGTATTGAAATTGTACACTTACAAGTATACTACTAGTACACTGATATTTGTATACTTGCTACATAAAGTATACTTAAAAATATTCTTGAACTTTACTTAAGTATACTTAATAAAATAAACTTGAAGTACACTACTTTTTGGTAAGGGGTACGAATCATGGCGCTAGTGTTTGAGCCATGTTTATATGACTCTTTGCATGTATCTACGTTTAACCCCAAAAATTACAAGTCAGAGCTGCAGAATATGTCGACGCTCGCCAACAAAATTCACGTTTAGCCGATGGGGTAACCATAGCAACTCGACAAAACTCGGTATTTACACATTGCACATATGCTATAACAACTATGTCACAAAAACCTTTTTTTAAAGATGACAAAAGACAATTTGGACGCAACTGTTCGCGCATCTAACCTATAAAGTCGACCTCACGGTCTAGTTTGGCCAAATCACGTGATCAATTCCTTGCCTGCGGTCGGGTTGTCCTTGGCTCTGACGTCATGAAGGATCCTGAGTATGAAAACTTTACAGCAGCAGTATCAAGGTGTGTGTGTGCGTGTGTGTGCGTGTGCTACCCTCAGCTCACTAAATGAATGGATCCTGCTCGCGTATGGGCGATTTTTCAAGAATCATCTAATTCTGGATTCAATGCATTTTTCACTCGGGATCAGTGATGACTTGGCTTCTGATGTGGGTTCTACTATTTGCTTGTGTACCGCAGGTAACAAATATGTTTGTTTATGTATTTATATGTATTTACTTTCTGAATTATTCGATGAAATAACGCATAAGCAACACACCACACCTACAGTTTAATTTAAAACAGGAGACTGTTTTAACATGCGTTGGAAAAACTGTATTTTTTCCAACTACTATTACTATACTACTATTTATAATAAATAATAGCCTATGTTCTTTTGCATTAACACTGTAAAAGTTGCTTGGCGCCTGCACATACAATTTTGAATTGAAATATTTAATGTGTTCTGTAAAATAAACATATAACAAACCACATAATGAAACAGAGCATTTCAAAATCCTATTCTTTAAATATATTCTACTTTTTAGTCAAGTGAAAATGAGACACCTTATCAAAGGTTTGTTGCGTAACAGTATTTGCGTCAGTAACTCTGATACCCCGCTATTCCACGTTAAATTCATACCATATCTTGAATAATTAAAATTGAAATGCGCTATAGATTTTCATTTAATTATATGTGAATGGCATTTGTAACAGATGACCTCATGTTTCACGCATTTGAGGAATGCAATTCCTTAACAACAAATTTAATGTGTGAGAGTATACTGCCGTCCTGTGGACAGATATAAACATGTTTGTCAAAATGCATGAGTGATATCCCTAATTGGTTTGACTCATTAAAGCTACATACTCTTTAAAGCTAAGTTCACTCCATTATGTCTTTGAACATGACAGCCACCCTCTTTTATACTTATAACTGTGACCCAGAGGGCGTACTTATCCTACTTTAAATTTATTCAACTTTAGCTGTCTCTTCCACCTTCCATATCTGCTGCTAATCTCACACAGGCTAAAAGAGGTCAAAGGTTATGGTGCCTTGCAGTTGCGAGCTTTGCGTGTGCTGTATTACTTAAGTCTGTTGCCATGTCAATCAATCATCTTGTTAATTGAACCTGAGGGCCTGAAGCAGTTGACTTTCTGTGCCTGCTAAAATCATTTATCAACATGATCTGTCATCCAATACCCCATTATTTACATCAGTTTAAACATTTAGATACATACCATACAATAAAAAGTGCACTGGAAACCTTCAAATTAATCATATTTAATCTACCCACCCATTAGCTGTGTTTGTTTCTTGACCTGATGTGCAATGATTATCTAGTACAAAATGAGACCCATGAGCTGACAGCAGGTCTATAGCTATTATAATCTGATATATGCAGGAAAGTGTAATTAGAACTGGTTCATTACTCTGAGGTTTAGTAGTATGTATGGGTGATTAATTAAGCTACATTGATTCCAAATATAAATGGCATCATAAATTACGTTTAGAGGTTCCGTTGAAATGCGTTTACATAAAGAACTACAAATTAAGACATTTATCTATGAAAGCTTGTTTCCGCCACAGGATAAAAAAAATAAAAAGGTAATTGCGACCTTTTATCTCACAATTGTAACTTTTTTTTCTCACAATTCTGATACACAGTTCTATATATAAATAAAAAAAAACTGAATCATTACCTCAGAATTCAGAGGAATAAAGTCAAAATTGTAAGATGTAAACTCAGAATTACAAGTTTATATCTTGCAATTATAAGATATAAACTTAAAATTGTGAGAAAAAAGTCCCTCTTTATTTTATATAAGGGGGGGACAAAAGCCTAAATATGTCAGAAACAGGAATCTGTCGGGACTTGTGTCTTACAGATTCACAGAGCATTTGCCCAGGATTCCTCTAAGATGCTGTCCATACCGGAGCCCTACAACCGCTCTCAGTACTGCCAATGGCCCTACAAATGTCCTAAAACTCCCCCCACCTGTCCACCAGGTGTGAGCTTGGTCATGGACGGCTGCGATTGCTGCAGAGCATGTTCCAAACAGGTGGGGGAGGTTTGCAACGAGAAAGAAAACTGTGACCATCATCGTGGCCTTTACTGTGATTACAGTGCAGACAAGCCTAGGTACGAAAAAGGAGTATGTGCCTGTAAGTGTCCTTGTACTAACACAGCCTTCTTATTAACACTGTGTTCCGGTCTTAGATTAGATTACGATGAAGATTTAAAAGGTGGATTAAGGTGGCGGAACCCAGATAAACCAAGCCAGGGGATGCTGAGCAGAATTATAATACATTCTGTTCACCTTTTAGCACAGCACAACACATCATACACTTTTCTTGGTATTGTATATCCAGTGTGTGTTTGATGAATTTGACTTCACTCGTTTTGCTCTTTGTTGCTATCCAGATCTGCCAGGCACTGGCTGTGAGCACAATGGTGTGATCTATCGCAATGGCCAGAGCTTCCAGCCCAATTGCAAATACCAGTGTTTGTGTGTGAATGGTGCGATCGGATGTGTCTCGCTGTGTAACGAGTCTCAGCCTCCCAGGGTTTGGTGCCAGAACCCACGGCGAGTTAAAATCCCCGGCCGCTGCTGTGAGCAGTGGATCTGTGATGAGTCCAGGAGGGGACGCAAGACAGCAGCAAGACACACAATGGCTGGTATGATCTCCAGTGTCTCATAAAGCTCCTGCAAATGGCTGGAAACTCATTCTGGGCAGATCATTTGTTGATAATGCTTGGAACATGTCCCTTTAAGTGATACCATACACTTGAAAATAGAAACAAGACTAAACCGTTTAGACAGTACAGTTTATTACTTAATATACAGATGTTACTTTATAACAGTGAACAAACTAATTAAAACTTACAACAGGATATTACAAGGAAACATATGTCAACAGGCCTCTAAGACTCATGGAAATGTCTACAGTTTGTACATTTATATTATTATATTATATTATAACAATTCAAATGTTTGGGGTTGGAAAGACTTTGACTTTTTTTCGTTTAAAGACGTGATCTAAAACATTAATATTGTGTGTGTGTGTGTGTGTGTGCGTGCGTTTTTGTGACAAATGAGGACATACATTTGTATAATGACAAAGGTATGACATAGGTATTACAAGGAGAAGGTGGCTTTTCAGGACATTACCCCATGTCCCCACTTTTCAAAACGCTTATAAATCACACAGAATGGAGTGTATTGAAAATCTGAAATAGCACAAAGTCTCATGCAAGGGGTAGGTTTAGGGATAGGGTTGGTGTAGGGCAATAGAATATAAGGTCTGTACAGTATAAAAACCATTACGCCTATGGGATGTCCCCACTTTTCACAAAAACAAACATGTGTGTGTGTGTGTGTGTGTACACACTACTAATCTCAACTTTGGGGTTGATAAGATTTTTTAAATGCTTTATCTCTTTATGTAAATTAAGGCTGCATTTATTCAGTCAAAGTGAGTGAAAACAGCAATGCTATGAAGTATTACAATTTAAAAGAGCAGTTTTCTATTTTAATATATTTTAAAATAAAATATTAATTTATTTCTGTGATGGCAAAGCTTAATTAAGAAACATGTTAAAAGCAGGTGATCATTTTATTTCAAGATTCTTTGATGAATAGCAAGTGCAAATGAACAGAATTTATTTTGAAATAGAAATCTTTTGTGACATTGTAAATGTCTTTACTGTAACGTTTGATTAAATACACATTTACACAATCACACATTTAATGTAATGCATTCTTGCTGAATAATTAATTTCTTAAAAACCTTACTGACCCCAAGCTTTTGAATGGTATATATATATATATAATCATTGTCTTTGCATTCTTACAGCCCTGTCTAGTGTAAAAGACTTCTGGCACAAGAACTGTGTGACACAGACAACCTCCTGGAGTCCCTGCTCAAAGACCTGCGGCCGTGGAGTGTCTTTACGCATTACTAACAACAACAAGCAGTGTCAGATGGTCAAAGAGAGCAGACTCTGCAACATCCGGCCATGCAAAGTGGATATCACAAAGCACATCAAGGTTTCAGATCCATTGTTACATTTGAGAGTGACATGAATGACTATAGTGTATAAAAGTATATGTTTTGACCCTGTGCCTTTTTGCCCTTTTTTCATCTCTCCACAAGCCTGGAAAGAAGTGCTTGAACATCTACAGGGAGGAAAAGCCACACAACTTCACTATCTCAGGCTGCACCAGTACAAACACTTACTGGCCCAAGTACTGTGGCGTGTGTATAGATGAGCGCTGCTGCATCCCTTACAAATCTAAGACTGTTGAGGTCGACTTTCAGTGCCCGAAAGGATCTGGCTTCACCTGGCAGATCATGTGGATTAACGCCTGCTTCTGCAACCTGAGCTGTAAAAACCCCAATGACATATTTACAGATCTAGAACTGTACCATGAGAGAGGTGAGGTTGGAAACTGAGTGTATGAGACCTTGCAGAAAAGTCAATAGAAAGATTTGGGAGAAAGCCACAGTTTTTTTTTCCCTGAGCAAGAGTTAATATTTAATTGACCATCATCTTTGGAGTTTTTTTTTTTTTGTATTATGAAATAAACCAATATATCCTAATATATTTTATTTTGATACTATGTGGCCTATTGCAACCAAATTGTTCATATATGTAGAGTTATTTCAACCAAGATTATCCCAGCTTTTGCCATATTGCGACAAATCCTTTTGTACAAAAGATGCAAGTATGTATGAAGACAATATCATGTTGACTTCGGTTTAATTTATACAAATTCTATGTAAAAAAAATAGATATATTGCGTTTCTGTATTGATAATGTAGTTTTTGTAATTTCATGCCTTTTCTACATTTATGCTCTTAAATGACACTGTAGTTCTTGGAGTGAATTTTGCCTTATAAAGTTAGGCTTTCCATGTACTATAACATTTTGTATAGACACTTACAAAAAGACAAAAAATTTGAGTAACCAGCTTTTTATTTTCCTTTTTTAAATAAATACAAACTGTTATTCCATTAAAAATGCAGTGCATTAGATTGTTTTACATCTTTACAAAGCAGAGTGCCTTACCAAGCTGCAAGCATTTGTTTTAGTGTGTGTGGAAGAGCAGGTGAGCTGCTTATATTATCTCTTTCTGAGCAATCCTTCGTTTTACTCTTTCAAAGCCTTGAGAAAAAAAAAGCATCCAGTCCAAGTAGAGGATTCCATGGCACATTTTGTTCTGTTGTGCTTGATTGCATAGAAATCATCATCATCATCATCGTTACAAACAAAAAACAATCACTCATATAGTCATTTTCGTGTATTCTTATATCTACAAATTGATTTTGTTAAACTAATGTTAAGATTCTTTAAAAACATTTGATCCCATAAAAATCATTTAAAATCACTTTCAAGAGCATCAATCACGGAGTTACACATATAACCCAAAATAATGGGACACTCCCAACAAGGAAAATGCAAATCAACACATTATGAGCTTAAACCTTAGTTTTATAAGGTAGGTTAGCATCATGAAAAAAATACCACTACATCTCTACTCTGTGGTCAAACAATCCCTTTTCTATTCAGTGAGGTCCATTTCAACATATACAGATTATACAAATTAATTATGCACTTAAACTAGCATGTAAAAGTGGTATAATAACTTGACATAAGAAAATGAATCGCAGACTAGAGATCAACATAAATTTACAAATGTGCCCTTCTCAGTGCCCAGCTTACTTGGATGATGACCATCAAAATGGCTCTGTGCTGCATTGCCTCTAACAACAACAAGACAGCTATTGCGCAGGGTGCAAAAAAGAAGAAATATTTCCATCATCCTGTCCTTCATTCACTCTATCCACTCCTTCCTTAGAGTTTCCCCTGGAAATATAGCCTTAAACACAAGACACGTTGGCATAAATGCTCTCTGACAAATAAAACCGTGCAAGACCCCTGAGGGAAACAGCACAGCGGCATGCGGCGGTCCTGTTGCATGTGTAGTTAGTGGCAGCGCAGCACAGTCAGAACAGAGAGGTTAATGCATGTGTGAGATGGACCGGGTCACCAGTCTAACAGGACACTTCAGTGGACTTGGGAGCCTGGTCCACAGAACTGTCCATGTTGTCAGTGTGCGAACGTGTGCGTTGGTTGTCGGAGGTGTGAGCTCGGGCACGGCCCTCGTTGGTGTGGGAGCGACTGCGGTTGCCCTCGTTAGTGTGCGACCTGCTGCGGTTGCCGTCAAAGGAAGTCACACTGGATCCGGATGCTGTGCGGGAACGGACCAGGCGGGTCATGCTGGCAGAGGGCACTAAGAGGCAGAGGAACACAGATTAGCATACATATTTCACAGCTTTTTCATGTTTTTAAATGTAATTGTTTCAATGTTAAAATACTTGATATAAGCATGTACACTACCATTCAAAAAATTGG